GGAGCGCGGGCGGGGAGAGCCGCCGGCGCCGCCTCGGAGCCCGCAGCCGGCCCGATCCCCCCTCCCGCGCCTCCCCGATCGCCCCCGGCGCCAGGGCCCCCCGAGGCCGGCCCGGGGTCTGCGCCGACTTGTGCTGCTGGCGGGGGTGTCGCTCCTTCTTCTCAAAGATGAAAGAAGGCACGATCGCCTTTGCCGCTTCTCCAGGACTGTTGCTGCCGCCGCCGCCGCCGCTTCATTGCACATTCAAGTGGAAAATTTTCAGGAGTCAGCAGAAACATTGTGTCCAAAAAAGACTGAGTCGCAGTTACCACCAAACCCTGGAGGAGACTCTCCCTGGAAAACTTCCCTTCGGTAGGAAATACTGGGGGATTTGTTTGTTTATTGGAAGAGAAATGATCCCCAGGAGGGGAGAAAATCGGGGTGCACTTCTAGTCTTTGTTCGTAGGAGCAACACTTGTTTTCAAAAGTCCAGAGGCCCGCTTTAAAGAAAGTTCAACTTCTCTGAGTTTTATTTTTTTTTAGTGTTTGTAATTTTTTTAAAACTGAAGCAGCATTTTAAATGAGTTGAAAACAATGGAGGGGTCACACCTCCTTTATTCTCCTCCCAGAAAATAAATAAAATCCAGGGCATAATTTTCTTTGCTTTTTAATTCTGTCTTTTTAAAGATTTATTTAAAGTTGAATGGTGTCACTATTTAAAAATATTTAGGAAACAATGAAATACCAGCCACCAGCATTTCTCAGGAGGCTTGTTAACTTCTCAGAAGCAAGTGGCTGCTTGTGATTTGCAGAAATGAAAATTGACCTCAGTAAGGGAAACTTAAGAGACAGATGATGTTCCGGGAGCGGGTAATGTAAAAAGACAGTGTTTTAAAAACAGTGCCTTGGAGGGAGCCCAGGTCCTGGGACAGAAAGGTCTGCAGTCTATCAGATTTCGAAATAGTTAAAAAAAATATTAAAAATGCTACAGATAGTGCAAAGGAGCAGAACATTATCAGTTCAGGACAATCACATGTTTCTCCCTCCCCACCATTCACCTTGATTGATTCTGGAAGTTTAGGTGGTCTGATGGCTTTTGGTGTGCTGGGTGCCTGCAGGTGGTCACCTGAATAGACAGATCCTCTGGAAGATGTGATCTCGCTGCATTGTCAGAGCCGGGAGTGGACTCCCTTCTCTGCTGTCTGCAGTGGATCTTGCTGGTCTGTTGTGCACGGGGGCTTCTCTGCCCGGGTCCTCTGAGTAGTGATTGGAGCAGACCTCAGGATGTGCCCGATGCTTCCTCCTTTCAGTGCTGGGTTTGTGCTTTTCTGTAAAAAGCAGGATTTGGGGCCCAAGCACATCTGAATGCTTTTAAGCGCCAGATTTAGATCCAACTTGGGTAAGAATCTTTCCTCTTTAGAAGGAAATAGAACTAGTTACAAAGTGACTCAGGAAAGACAAATGGATTGGTTGAACCTTTGTCAACAGCGAGGTTTTGAATTGGTTGATTATTTTTTTGGAGAAAGGCTTATTTTTCTAATCTCTCTATTTCCATAAATGGTCACAGATATTTTTGTTTAGTATTTCTTTGTATGTGTAACTCTGCGTTGAACTCTCAGGTTTCAGGTTTTAAAGAGAGTTTACAATTTGTTTATTTGTTGTTGGTGTAAAAAAATGAACTGATAAGCTATATTCGATACTGGTTCTTGCTGATGGTATAAAAGTGCCAGTGTAGACCATTTTATTTTTACTTTAATGATAAGTATTATTTGATCTGCAGTTTTAGGGGAATATTAGAATTCCTTTTCTTTTCTTTTTTTTTTTGCAAGTTTGAAACAAAACCAATGTGACACTTTGTGTTGACGGTAAGAGTAAAAAAATATTATAGGAAAGAATCTTTGTGTAGATTCCTCCTCTGAGTGATCTTTTATAGAGTACAAACACAACTGCATCCGGAGAACATGCCTGAGAGATTATTGGAGTTTGTTTGTTTCACCACGACTTATAGGTAATGAAATTTCATTTAAAGAGAGAGGGCAACCTAGCTTAGTTTGAGCCAGATTGAAATGAATTTCTGACGGAGAGGCGCTTCCTTGCGTTGTGGTACAACGTGTGCCTAGGCCCCAGCAGCAAACTAATTACACATAAGGGCGGGTTTAAGGGAGGGGAAGGAGCAGCCTGGGGGAAGTCCATTTCCTCCTCCCTTCCCCTCTTCCTCTCCCCCCCTCTTTTGCTTTATACAGCAAGAAATATATATTCATATACTCCGGGACTGGCATCCCCTTGTATTTAGAAAAAGGACAAACCAAGTCACAAGGAAAAAAATGTTCAGGTTTTTGCTTCTTGAACTTCAGTCTTTTATAAACAATTTTGAATTTTGCTGGCTCTGACAATACAGAACAGCAAATATAAGCGGTCATTTCTTAATGGGAAAATTTGGGAAGAATATACTTGTAGTCTGTCACCGGTGTCTAGATCATATTTGTTGTCACATTTTCGGTAGAAGAGTATGTAACAGGAACAGTTGGAGAATGTAGATCCCAGATGTTAGATAGGCCTTGGAAGAAATGAGCTGTGCCATTAACAATATTTGAAGGTTTTTTTGTTCCAGAAATGGGTTGATCTCATACATGGCGGTCATACAGGAGCCCGTGCATCCGGGGGATGACTCTTCTGTCTAATCTCATTGTGTTATTATGTGTTAATTGTGAGCGTAATTATACTGCCTGCAAATGAAAATTGAGGTGTCTTATCACTCAAAAGGTTGGTGCAAATAACTGCGTGTGTGATCCAGCGTTTGTACGATGACCATGTTCACATACAGACAGGAGGTGGATAACACTTTGAAGCTTGTATTTTAGTCATTTTGTCTTGTTCCCAGTAAAGAGATTGTGAAAAGAGAAGAAAATATTGCTGAGTGAAAGCTGTGCTTTAGAGGTCGGATCCGTTTAGTGATAAAACTTTTTGGGTCTGTTTTCTCCAAAGACTGACAAGTACCGGCCGGAGCAGTTGCCCAGCTTTCTCTGTAGAACTGCAGGCACATCAGAGCCCATCTTTCTGTTGATGAATGCAGGCATTACAGCTTCCCTTTTAGAGGTCAGTGACTGGAAGTGCAGAGGGCTGATGTCCTGCTTCTGAACACGGCAAGAAAAGTGTACTGTAAGCTCCCTGCCCTTTTGACAAACTTAGGCTCTGCTGCTGGGCCGTCGGGGACTGACTGATGGCTGGAATAATCTTTTATAGCTGCATGGGGCTTTTTCTTATTTTATCTGTAGAAGCCACAGATTATCCTGTGGTATTTAAATTAGATCTCAAATGATGTTTGAACAATATCACTGATATGTTTTATTCTTTCATATTCTCAAAAGTGATACAATCAAGTAATTCAGGTCCGTCCTAGGCATTTCATGTTTCAGGGTTGGGCTTTTTGACAAATACCTAATTTAGACCGCCTTGTATTGCAGTTACCGTGTACTCTGAAATCAGGGAAGTTCTGGGCCTTCCCTCTTCTGGGATAGTGTGTGGAATGCTAGAATATTTGGATCTAAATATCCCGAGTGTTTTTGTGTGGGTTTTTATATTGTTTTGTTTCAAAGCTGTGAACTACTGGGAGTTTTCAGTCTGTAAGATTTCTCTTCATAAGCTTCCTTGACCTCACCCCATATCTGAACCCATGGTTGAAGTTCAACCGTTTCTTCAGATACGTTCAGGCTTCATATTGGTGCAGAATAAGGGGATTTTTAAATAATGTATTTTTATTTTACTCACAGCAAATGGGATGTCCTGAAGGGTGGATTTTCAGGACAGTGTTTCTTACAGGGAGAGCCACTCTCAGCTCTGAAGCTCTCCTTTTGTCCACTGGCATTTTGCGTGGCTGGGAGGGTTCTCAGAAAATAGTTTTCCATAGTATGGGGAGTCCTGGCTAACTGTGAAACCACTAGTCTCTCTTCTGATTGGACAAGGGGAGGGGGTCCTAAGAGGCTGTCTTTTCTCCTTCTGTGGCGGGCTGAGGGAAGGTGCCATCCTGGCTGTGTTGTCCCCCCCGCCACCACCCTGCCCCGTTGTTTAAAATCAGTATTTACTATCCTGACGCAATGCGTCAGTTTTTAAGGTTCTGTCCTAGGATTTCATTAGCAGTTTTAGTTTGAGGGACAGGACCCAGCCTTGGAAAATGGGTTTAAAGGAAGAAGCCAGCTTATTGATGAACAAGTTCTCTAGGGGGACATTCTGGTTGTTTTCAGGCATCTGACAGGTTTGCATGTGTGTGTAAAGTGAGTGAAACCCTCTTGACTGGGAGTATACAACAATGCCGAGGTCTGTTGTTTTTACTGATATATAAACTGAAAAACTGCTGCTAATGGTGGGAAATGTTAATTATGTGAGAACATATTGAACTTATATTCTCTGGCATGAACTTTTAAAAAAAATGCATGAACTGTGCTGCGTTTTTATAGGCACAGCTTTCTAATTATCATAATTCAGTTCAGCTCCGCTCTTGGCTGCAGTTCAAGTGCAATCTCAATTTAACTTGAAAGGAGTTTTTTTTTTTTTTTAACTGAGAATGTTTAAGAAAATTTGAAAAGTTCATCCAAGAATGTTGTCTGCCTAGGTGTGGGTG